CTCTCTCTCTCTCTCTCTCTCTCTCTCTCTCTCTCTCTCTCTCTCTCCCTCCTCGCGTCCTTCAGATCCTTCGCTCGGCGTGCGATTGGTCCGCCGGCATCAAATACCACGAGGAGTCGATCCACAACGCCTACGTCCACGTCATCCAGAACAGCCAGCACTTCGTTTACATCGAGGTACTCTCATGTATCCACGTGTCTTAATAATAATGATCTTGGTGTGAGTGATGAAGTGGTGAAGTTTCATGATGATATCTGAGTTCATGTGTTCACCTGTAGAGTCTCTAAATGTCTGTAATGTAACTAAACGTCTCTTTGAAGGACGGAAGTATAAACTGAATTTCTTAGTTTTTACTGAAGCAATGGAAGAATTAAGTTTTTCTTTATTTTCATAATTAAATTTAAATCAAAGTTCTTTGTTGATCAACAGACGTGTGTTTGTGTTTCAGAATCAGTTCTTCATCAGCTGTGCAGACAACAAAAACGTTTTCAACAAGATAGGAGACGCGATAGCCGAGCGCATCATCAGAGCATACAAGTAAAACACACACACACACACACGACCTGATTTCTTCAGCGTACAAACACTAAGATGACATAAATGCAACATTAAGCGCCGACACAAACTTCCTCGTGTTTCTCGGGCGTCTGAATGAATTCTCGAGGTGCTTTTTCTCGTCTCTTTGGCTGTAAAACTGTTAAACTGACGGTTATTTAAAATGTTGTTATGATTTCATGCTCTGCTCGGATCAACTGAAGTGTTCCGTCTCATAAAGTTCCCAACGTGCCTCACGAAGCAGTCGAGATCAGAGACAGAATAAATACACTTTCACAGTTTTAGCTTCACAGATAGAAAGTCGAGACAAACTTTAGTCGTATTTTTAAGTAAAGTGAAGATCTCAGTGAAGGATCTAGTCTGTAAAATCATAAGACGATTATTTATCACTTGCAAGTGTCACGAAAATGTCTTTATTCAAACTGCAAAACATGTATTCACGTATGAACCGTTCAAAATACTGATTAACTAACAGTATAAATGTCTTTTTTAATCGTTAAAAAATAGCCAAAAAATACACATTACCAGTTACATTAATGAACACATTTCACATTTGAGCCAAGTCGTAATATTTGCCTCCTCAAAGTCACCAGACTCCATTGACGGAAAACGTCATCTTACCTCCATGATCGTCGTGAAACAATCATTTCAAACAAACTTCAACAAACAAAATAAACCTCACAATTACTTTGTGAGTCTTTCCACTGTTCCAACAATCACCAGCTGTGGTTCAGTCAGAATATATCATAAATTCAGAGTTAGATGTGAAAAGAAACGGACGTTATTCCCTCCTCAAAGCCACCAGACTCCATTGACAGAAACAGTGATATTGTCGAGTTTTCCGTGTTTGAAAAACCTCCATATATGCTCTAATAATTTGGACAGCATTAGATGGTGTTTGTTCACCACCTGAGGAATGTTCCAGTGTTACCTTTGTGACCCAGCCTCACTAACACTGTTTGAACGTAGTTATTAATTATAATAATGAATCTGTTGAGCTATCGATCCTCCATCGTCCTCTGGTGTTCTTATCTTTGTGAATCATTCGGCGGTGAGATATCATCCTTCTCTTTCTCCGTGTCATTTCAAACGTTTTCAGGGAGGGTAAAAAGTACCGAGTGTACGTGGTGACGCCTCTGCTGCCGGGCTTCGAAGGAGACATCAACACCGGAGGAGGCAGCGCCATCCAGGCCGTCATGCACTTCAACTACAGGTGTGTGTGTGTGTGTGTGTGTGTGTGTGTGTGTGTGTGTGTGTGTGTG